AACATTTCGTCGAACTCAAAGACCAGCGTGAAGTCTTCGGCCGCTTGGTACAGTGTCGAACCGGGCACGCGTATACAGGAGAATTCCGCAGACAATTCTTCCCAGAGAAAACCACAAACTGCGAATGCGGAGTGGACCCACAGACGCGCGAGCACATTATAAGAGACTGCGAACGGTACGAGGACCAACGGGCCAAGCTACGTGATCACGACCGTGAACTGGCACTCCCAGAACTACTGGGAACCCCCAAAGGCATCACGGCCCTATCCATCTTCATAAGAGACTCCGGCGCGTTCACATTCACGGGAGAAAAGCACATGCCAAAAGAAACCCCATCCTTCCAGGACGAACCAGAACCCCCAGACGAGGACTCAGAAGACGATGAGTCCGACGCTGAACCATAACACCCATACGATGCCCACACCCAGACCCAATCCCCCGCGAGCGCAAGAGCGCCCGCCATGCCCCTAGCGTCGCCACGACGCACTCGACTCTGACCTCCAGTTCTCTGGCCCCTGCACACAACCCTACACATCTCTTATACAATACAGCTACACATCGGACACCCAAATTCACGTAATGGAAAGCCCGCACGACATAATTACATCTAAAAGGGAAGCCATACGCTTCCCGTGCGTCTTAGTACTAGACTACTTGTTGCACGTAAATCTCGAGATAATAAAAAAAAAAAAAAAAAAAACTCAAGTTATCCGCATTTCGTTATGAGTGCATGTTTGATACATATCTACAAATGTCAACGAAATGACATCAACGAGGAACTCACCGAACTCGGTGCCTGTGCGTTCAAAGAAGATAAGCAGACTTCAAGTAATCATAACTCGCGTTTGAAAAAAAACGTCAAACAACTCAACTCATCCGCGAATGTATCATTGGAATTGTTGTGCGACATCTACAAACATGAGTAATACCACGCAACAAAAAAACCGAATCACGCCCAACAACCCTCTCCGTCAACGCCACCAACCCACTCTTCGCCACACTCTCCGGAAGCTCTTCAAGGACCTCCTTCGCTTTTTCAGCGAACGATTTGGCGAGGAATTTAGTGCGGTGAACGCCTGAGGAGCGGAGGACTAGGGAGCGGGCCTGCAGGGTGTGTGTTAGCTCGAGGTAAAGTAGGTGTAGGGGTGGAAGTGAGAGAAGGTTGGGAAGAAAGGGTGAGAGGGTGAGAGGGGATCGGGGAGGGAAGGCAAATGGAGACGGAGGAAAGAGGAAAATGAATGGGGAAGAGGGGGCAAACGAAACACTGCGTTAGCTCGGGATGAGGTCGAGGTAAAGGGTGGGCGGAGGTGAGAGAAGGTAGGAAAGAAATTCATGGTAAAAGAGAATCGAAGAGAGGAGGAGAATAGGAAAGACGAAGAAAACAAAACACACCATCTCAACATCCCCAAGACCCTCAAACTTCCTCCCTATAAGCTCGCCCATCTCCGGGAACTCTTCCCAAGCATAGAGAGCAGGTCCGGTGGCTAGGGCAAGTTGGAGGTCCGCACCGCCTGGTTTGCCGAGTGTTAGGTCTGCGGAACCCGGTGTTAATGTGGATTCGTAGTCGAGTATGTCGTCTATTAGCTGGAAAGACGACGATTAGGAAGAGGAAGTGGGAAGGGGAAGGAAGAAAGAGCCCCACCTGAAATGCAATACCCAAATTCCGTCCATAAGCATATGCAATATCCTTCCACACGTCGCCCTCTTCACACCCACCCAACACGACAGCCGACCATGCGCCCTTTGCCATGAGGCTTGCCGTTTTGAGGTACGTCTTTTGTAGGTATATCGTCCATGTGTTTTTGGTTTTGCCTTTTATTCCGATATCTTGAGTCGTCGTTCCTCCTTCACCCAAAACGACATTGAAACGACATCCCGCATTTGCAAAATCTCCCCTTCCACCAAATTCGAAATGACGCTCGCGATAAGCTGGGTGACTTCCGGGTCACCGAGCCTAGCTAACGCAGTTGACGCTCTGCCCAATACAAAGTTCCCGCCCAAGACGGAGAGCTTGCTACTGAATTTACTTGGGGCGGAGGGGCGAGGCGTCGATGACGTCGTCGTGCAGGAGCGAGGCTGTGTGCAGCATTTCGACGATTTGGGCTAGGCGGAGTTGGGTTGGGAGGAGGTGGTGGTGGTTGTGGGAGAGGGTCGACGATGATGCGGTTGAGGCGGGTGGTGAGTTCTGGGAATGACTCGGTGGTGGTGGTGGATAGTGTGTCGTCGACGGCGACACCAAAAACACATCCTCAAACTCGCTCGTACTCCCCGGATTCCAATCATTCAACACGTCAGGTCTCGTGAGTGGTCTATCCAAATCCATGTCTCGAGTTTACGGAGGGTACCTTCCAAGGGCCAGCAGTTTTTCTGCTTATCAATCGTACGGAGCTCTTGATGGCCGGAGGGAAAGTGAGGGGCCCGAAGAGGAGCAGTGCGAATCCTTCTGGCCAGCCGTGAGCGGGCTATTCTTGATTACTGCAGTGATTGTTTTAATACGAAGCATTGGTGGAAAGTAGTTGCAATAGGCTGTTTCACAGTAGGCCAACTTAGGTCCCAACTTTCATCTCAACTTGATGGCCAACTTCAACAAAGTTGAGGAGGAAGTTGGCCAACTCTACCGTGAAACACCTTGAACTGCAGAAAACATAAAGTTGGGTTGATTTGGGCTCGGAAGGAATTCCGGATGCAGATTTCTGCCTATTTTGGATACGTGGGAAGTTGGAAGGTGAAGTTGGGCACCAAGTTGGGATCAAAGTTGGCTGCAAATCGGCGTCAGGACCACGATTTGCATCCCAACTTCATGAAGTTGGTCAAACTTTGTCCTTCCAACTTGGCAAAAGTTGCTCACCAAGTTGGGGATCAAGTTGGGACCTAAGTTGGCCTACTGTGAAACACCCTAATGAATACGCTATGAACCGTTTTGTGGAGTCTTCAAGGAGTCTTCTTAGAATTTTACACATGTCCACGCCCACAAAAATTTGCCTCATGCCGAAGTGGGCGCCTGAATACTTATATATAACTGTGCTTGTGTGGCATCCCGGGCCTGTGCAGCATTCTTCTCCTGCCCTCTTACCACCATGCCGGGGCCTACAACTCAGCAAATTTGCACCACCGTCCCTACCGTTGAGGGTTTGAGAGAACTATTATTCTCCTACGTTACCATGCCGACTCATTGGCAGCAGATTTGCATCACTGTCCCTACCGCTGAGGGTTTAAGACGAGGCGCAGAAATGTTCCATCGCGAGATAGGTGTGTTATCCGGCTTTTCGCCCAAACAGAATCAGATTGAATGTCCTTCAATTAGTCACCAATTGCATCACTGTCCCTACGGTTGAGGGTTTAAGACAAGGCGCAGAAATGTTCCATCGCGAGATAGGTGTGTTATCCGGCTTTTCGCCCAAACAGAATCAGATTGAATGTCCTTCAATTAGTCCTCAAACACCCATTCCTGTTGGCAAGCGGACTTGTTCTCCTGGCTTACAACCCCAAATCTCCCTTTGCGGTAGTATACTATGTTGTCTACGGCATTCCTAAAGCCATAATTGTGGGCCTGCTGCACTGCTTGGGCTTTGGACGTGAGGGCGTTCGTCGAGGTGCCTTATTTTAATTCATTCGAGGACGAGCTTGCGTGCTGATCTGTATATTACGACCGTTTTATAGGTTCATACGCTGCGGGATACCAATCTCGAGTTTACAAAGGGATAATTCCAAGGTCCAGCACTTTTTCTGCTTCTCAATCGTCCGGAGCTCGCGGAGGCACTTTCAGCAAGTTCTGGTTACTCGTGGGCTTGGGGTTTGGTATAAGTAGTCTTTGTTTTGGTACGAAGCATTGGTGGAAATTTCTGGTCAGCCGTGGGATGGAGTTTTATTATTACTTGAGTGGTTGTTTTGGTGAGAAGTGGTGGGAAGTTCTGGTCGGTCGTGGGCTGCAGTGTGTTTATAGTTTTTCTTTTGATACGGAGCATTGGTGGAAAGTTCTGGTCAGCCGTGGGATGGGGTTTTATGGTTACTTTAATGATTGTGTACGAAGCTTTGGTGGCGAGTAGTTGCAATGAACACGCTATGAATCGGTTTTTGGAGTCTTCTGTTCAAGTTGGTTCAATTTACGTGACGGTGCAAATAGATGCAAGCGCGTTGGTCATGTGTTGGTCATGTGCTCCAGTTGTGGCACTGTCAAAGTCGGACTGCCTCCTCACGAATTACAGCTCCACCGTCGACATGGATCCAAGCTCAAGTACGGCGGCCGCGCACAACTCCAGAGGACCACGTATCGCTGAAAAAGAAAAGGGGGACAGAAACAATGTACGAACTCTATCGTTAGCCACTGAGGAAGGCTGAGAGCTGTTACTTACTATTTCTGCTCGATAGGCTCAATCTCATCGAAGCACGCGATATAAAGAAAAGTGAAGCGATCCCTTTCTTCAGCGCCAAGTTTTGGGAGCTGATACTTGAGCTGCTTAGGTATCACCATATGAAAGACAAGTATGACCAAGCGAAGATGGTGAGTTTCATTCGAAACCCTTACCTTCTCAATGGTTACGCCTGACTGAAGATACGCGATAAACATCAACGCGATTTGGAAGCTGCAAATGCAAAAATGAAGAGGCTACAAGCTGAGAACGAGTACGTCGTTGACTTCGATCAACCATCGGCCAGCGAAGCTCAGTTGTGCCAGGCTTCTCATAGATGCAATGCTCCTGGCCGATCGAGGCTTGCTTGAACGATATTTTCCATCCGCAGAAGGCCATGACGGCTTGCCCCCAATAAACACCGTACCGGCCGACCTTCCTCTACCCCGCAGCACTCCATTACTTGCTACTTCGCATCACCCCCGGGACCCTAACGCGACGCCACGGCTCGGTTATCGTTCACCCTACTCGAATCCAATGCCACACTCCAACACGAACGGGGACAGCATAATGCACAGCAACGGGATTCGATGTCGGCCAGCCGAGGTGCTTTTCCTTCGTCGTCTGTCGAGCGCTATGAATCCTAAACTCATCCCCCCATAGCCCCCGATGGAACAACACTATATTGTAGATCAGCCATTGGAATTTCTACCTCCCGAGATGAATGGCCGCTCATGAACCTGTTACCGCTCGGGGTGGGTAGCTTTACGTCAACGTGTGGCTTGCTAGCTTAAATCCATGCCAGCGGCGCCTCTAGTGGGATCCAGAAGCTTTACCCAGCAGCGGGAGACTGTCAGTCCTTTCAAATGTGCCAAGATACCCCATTTGCCAGGGCACCTTTGACCAGGAACAACGTGACGATCCTCGAGTCCTTACCATCTATAGAGTTGTTTGCATGTCCAACCTGTGAATGCTCCATTTCGAATTGCCAGAGAACGTTGGAACGCAAGTGGCATACGGAAGGGTCCAAAGTCTTAGAAGGTGGCTTTTCAGACGGTTTCGAATTGGACGACGAAACCCCCACATATTCTTGAGAGTTCTTGCACCAATGGTACTCCTCGCGGCAGTATCCTTTCTGCTCTGATCTGGTTGGTGCAGCAGATCCCGAGCTCGTCTTGCCCTTTCATCGATGTGGCAGGGAGGGCCCCCTCCGCCACCCCGACGACCTTTCTGGTGTATCAGATGATGGCATTCTTAACTTCGTTCCGATCACCAGTTTATATTGTGGATTGTACCCATACGCAACAGACGTTATAGACAGCACATGATGCTTTGAACAGACCACGACCAAGCTGGACGCTCATTGCAGCGCTCAATGTCAAAACTTTCTTCGCGGCGTCAAATTTGACCTCATTCCAGTTGTCAATTTGTGCCTCGACCCAGCCTCAACTCGTACCTAATGCTTCAATGAAGCTCTTATCATTCGTTATCTGATGAAGGTGTCGCGATCACTCATCCTTTTTGTGTGTCCCGCTCTTCCTGCTTCCTGCTCATCTTTATTTCTCTGCCTGGTGGGATCTCCGTATCGATTTGCCACGGGTACGTAGCAGAATCGTGCCGGTGCAATAGAGGGCACTCTCATGTAACGGGATAGTGTCGACCGTATAATGGGATGACGCTCACGGTATGTCTGTCATTCAAGCAATTGACATTCGGGTTTTACCAGTTTTCAGGGCTGTCATATAGTATTTGTTCCAAGTAAATAAACATGGGCTGCTCGGTAATTTCGGTTTATACGGGTCTTTACATTGAGAAACCTGTGTAACTGAAATGCAGGATACTGACGCAGCGAACGTGCTGTTACTTTTATACCCTTAGCCGCATGTCCACCTCGCGCATATTTTCTTGTTGCCCCTCCCGACACCAAGATGACTTTCTACACCCACCCTTTTCTCTTCGGCCTCGTAGGACTTACTATCGCGACAGCGATTCCCCGTGGAGACTCGATCACCGCGCTGTCGGCCTCCCAAGTCGCCGCCTTCAAACCTTTCTCGTATTACGCTGCCACAGCATACTGCAAACCCGCGACAGTTCTAAATAAGAGTTGTGGAGGTGAGCACCAGTCTTTGTACTCTTCAGTAAAGACGTCGTTGAACAATATTTAAGTCAATTGCGATGCAAACACCGCGTTCCAACCCATTGCGGCTGGTGGGGATGGGTCGAAAATACAGTTTTGGTATGTTGGCATCGACCTCAGTCTCAAGGTATGCACATCTTCCAGCCTCGAACAACTTGCTTATGATTGTAGACTGTTATTGTTGGCCACCAAGGCACAGACCCCAGTAAAATGTGATCATTCTTCTGTTCCTATCCCAAACATATGGCTGACTTCGATGTCGGCGCAGTGCACCCCTGCTGACGGACGCAAATTTTTTCCTCAAACCTTTAAATGAGACATTCTTTCCAGGATTGAATTCAGCCATCAAGATCCACAATCAGTTTGGTGACCAACATTGGAAGTAAGAATGTTTTTTCTGTCAGATCTTCATCTCATTTTAAGTTTTTTATATAGGACAATGAGCCAAATTCTTTCCGCTACGCGCGCTGCTCTGCAAAAGTCGAATCTTACGCAGGTAACACTTATTGGGCATTCATTGGGTATGTTAAATTTCAGTCCCCCTCGGTTCATGTTGATTTGTTGGTATTTAAAGGCGCGGCACTCGCACTCTTGGACAGTGTGTCCTTGCCGCTGTTTTTGCCTGGCATCCAATTTAAAACGATTGGATACGGTCTGCCTCGGGTGCGTATAACCATTCCCGCTGCAAGGCGGATAGGTGATGAATAAACTTAAAGGTTGGAAATCAAGCCTTCGCGGATTATGTAGATGCAAACGTCCAACTCAGCCACGTCAACAACAGGTAGGCGAAAGAGCAATGTCCCTTTACTGTTCCCTTAACATTTTTTAGAGAGGACTTTGTCCCAGTTATTCCGCGTAGGTTTCATTTTTGACATAAAGTTACGTGGCTAGACAGCTATTTAGTCAGGACTCTTGGTTTTGTTCAACCCCAAGGAGAGAAGCACATCCAGGATGATCTTACTTGGCTTGATTGCCCAGGTCAGCACAGTAACAAACCAGGTTCTTACGCCGTTCTAATCTCCCTTGTCATCGATCAGGAAACGACAACCCCGATCCTCGTTGCTCAGCGGGTGACGTATCAAGCGTTTCGGCTGGCAATCTCTCTAATCATGATGGTATGGAATATGACGCCAAATATCAAGTCCTTATCTCATAATTTTCAATCAGGCCCGTATGATGGAGTAGAAATGGGCGGCGCTACCTGCAAGAATGTTACTGGAACAGCCGGCGTTGCTACTGCTGCAGCCAGCACTTTTCATGCAAGATGCGGGGTGTTGTTCCTTTTGGCGACCGCTTTCAGTTTGCTACATGACCCCCTTCAAGTTCTATAGTTGATGCTTTTCTCGACGAATCAGTTGGCAACCGGAAAAGCTGGCTATACTTCGCGATTCTGGATGAGTTGTCTTTGTTGGACCTACTGTTCAGCTTTTGACCTTCAAAAAAGAAAACACTGCTGGCTAACTTCGCGTATGTAATTTTTGGTATGCTCTCGATGTGGCGCTTGAGCAGTGGACTTTCCCACCCCGACTGCTCGTAATATTTTTCTTCTAACTTCAGTCGATTGAGGAAATGTCGATGACAGTTTTGTCAGCTGGGCCTGCGTAGGACCTATTTCCGTCTGCTATTTCAAGAGCGTCTACAAATTGAAACCCTTTTTTTGAGCGAAAAACGTATAGTATGCCACATATTAGTACAATTTTGGAGGACACTAGTACATAAAAGTTGAATTCACCATTCACATTGAGCTGCACAGCCACTTTCCAGTCTCTTGAACCCGCCACCAAAGTTCAAACGATCGCTCCGTGTTGCAGTCCGCTCCAAGCAGCTCGTCCGACATTCATATCGTCGCCACTAGTAAGTGAGTTGGTTAATGGCTCATACAACAAACTAACAATCTTGCCTCGAAAGCAAACGACCGTCGACAGCCTTTTTCCAGCTCTCACACTTCAAAATCAGGAGCAAGGTTCAATAGAAAGCGTCGACTATGGAAGAAGGTCTTCCGCTGCCACGCACGCAATTTTTGTCTGACCAAGATGGCCCACATGCCATCAGGCTCACAGTGGCTCCCATCTTTGAGATTCCCAACGAAATTTTCGCCCTGATTTTTTGGATGTCCACGGACTCGGAGCACATAGAAAATCAAAGGACATTGATAGCATCCTCACAGGTATGCCGGAGGTGGAGATCCGTGATTTTTGGCTACCCAGCACTTTGGGGTCGCGTCATTCATTTCACAGACCCATTACCCCGTCTCCGACAACTTTTACAGAGATCTAAGCCAGGACCGATCGACGTGGGCAGGGTCGATTTGCAAGTTTACTTGGGACACATCCGGATGCTGGAAATCCTCTCGGAAAGCTCGTCGAGGATCCGTACTTTCAACGTCAGGCTCTCAAATCGAGAGAGGAATTATGACCTTGTTTCCAAACAATTCTTTGAACAACCCGCACCCCTGCTCGAGTTTATGTCAGTTAGCTTAACTCCGAGCACTTCAGTCGTGCAGGGGCCCTTGTTTCAGGGCGATGCCCCATACCTCCGTCGTCTCCACCTTTCGAACTGCTCAATTAGATTTGCGTTGTCGATGCCAATCCTTGCTAGGTTAACCGAATTGTCCGCAAGGAACATCGCGCCCGTTGTAGCTCCTTCCGCATCAATGTGGCTTATGAACCTCCTGGAAATGCCTAACCTTCGTTGGCTGAGCATTATTGACTCCATTGCCCCACACCAGACATTCCCTCCCACCCAAGTGCATCTTCCCAATCTGACCATGCTAACTCTATCGGGGAAATTATGTGATTGTGTCTTCCTGCTTGACTACATCACAGCACCCTCGTTAATCGGCATGCGGTTGAATTGCAATACCGTTGAGCCTGGACATTACTTCACTCAACTATTGGATAATATCAAAAGGAAGTTGAGTACGTGGCCGCTGAAGGCTGATGAATCTCCCCAAATTATTTTACTGGAAGATGGCCGCATTTTCGTTGGAAATTCCCGCCGCTTTAGCAGCCTCGACGTCGACGCGTGGAACGTTTGCGAAGTAGCATCCTTACGATCGGGCTGTCACGCTCCTGATAGGCCGATCTGCATCCTCGATCTCGCTTGGGATGATGTTGAAGATGACATTGCTTTCTGCTGTCCCTTGCTCTCCGCCATTCAGCCGGTATTCAAAGTGGCGACGTCCTTGGTTTTATGGCTTATTGATGATAACATGCGGGCAGAATCCATATCTGAAAAGATTTTGCGGCTCAGAGTCTGCTTTCACTCGTTTGAAGATCTTCACACCCTCCATCTAACCAATCAATCATCTAAATTTATTTTACAGTTCTTATCCCTTCCAACATCTCCGGATATCATATTCCCTTCCTTGAAGACATTGTGTTTCTTTCTTCCGGGATTTCATGACCAGGAGGACCACTTCGATGCCCTTTTATCTTTCGTTCAGATACGGGCACAGATTCAGCAGGCCTTGACCAACATCGTCGTTTCCTCGGACGCTAACGGGTTATCCCAGATAACCCAACGGCAAACGGATATCCTGAAGAAACACGGAGTGGAGGTCGAATTCAATAATACACTCTATGAACAATATCTGTGATAACCTAGTAACGTGTCAGACTCTGTCAGCATTCCCAATTTGTTTTACTTGCAAACACCGCGCAATTGCAGCCTGTTTAATATCTATACAAGTACTCCGAAAATTAGCGTTATAATGTTCTCTCCTCTTTCGAATCGTGGTTTCTGTTGTGAATTGTGCCATATCCAATGTAGACATCAGTATATCTTTATTCTATGCCTGGGACGGACTACTTATCATCAACATCAACGAGTCGAAGTTGGACGCGTTCAGTAAATTATAAAAGGCATCTTGTATCGACCTAAGAAGTTGCACATCTCGTCATGATAGGTCTGATGTTGAAGGCCGACATTTGTGAGCTCAATAGAACCTGACAACTCACATATCTTGGGGATTCTAACTCTTGAACTCGTAAAAACAACAGCCTTTGGATCTTTGGACACCTATTCATAGCGTGTTGTTAAGATTACTGCCAGGGCCTGTGTGAAAATCTGCCGTCTCTAATTTTGGGTGTATGTTCATTCTGGTATTTTGTGAATCAGAGTGATTCTCCTGTACATAGATCCAAATTTGAAAACATGCCTGGCACCTCGGGCCTCGGAAAAAAAGAAGTAGATCTGGAGAGGTTAATTGGTCTTGTCCATGCTACGAAACGCTTGTCGCTTCGAACAATGGAGTCTATAGTCTCCAAATATATATATATCTAGTGATGCCGTTTATACCTCCCTGCGTGCAACATCCCAAACTAACCATCAAGAACAACGGTATAATCAGATAGATAAATAACGCAAGCACAAGGGTAAGGGTACAATTTTATACATTTGCTATCCTGTCCGTTCATCTATTTTTTGCGGTCGCCACCGTTTCCAACAATAAAACGCCAGGGCAGCCAACGCTGTGAGTCCTAAACTGATGCCCACCGTAATGCCTATTGCCTGAGCGATCATCGCGTTCTTTGATGTTCCATTTGATTGGGGTGAAGGCGAGGAGTTAGGTGGAAGAGGAGATGTGAATGTGGGAAGGGCATTCGCCGGCGGAGCAGAGAAGGTTGGAAGGAAAGAAGTTGAGGCTCTGGGTATGATCATAAGGGCTAAGTTAGCATGAAAAGAGGGAAGACCGTACGCATTGGCTGGAACGGTGATGAAGAGGGCTTGCACACCGAAAAGAGTGGGGGATAGCGCGGGAATGAAGGTGGCTGAAAACGTAGTGGTCGAATCTTGAGGGAGAGAGACGACGCTGGCAGATCCGATTGTCGAATTGAATAAGTTCGAAATAGCGACTCCGTTGGCTGAAACGGTGATATTGACGGTGGCATTGGATAGTGGAGAGGTTAAGATGTAGAGGGCGGTTGCTAAAACATCAAGAAAATTTAGAACTCAGTATGGGATCAACAGAAAGATGTAGAAAAGTGAAAAATGTAGAAAAGTGAACTTCAAGAGTCGAAATCTGACCTCGGAATTGAAAAAATAGCTGTGGAACGATGCTTTGGGAGGCGGGGTCGGGTCCACTAGTAAAAACAGAATCCCCAGTGGTATTTGACGTTTGCCTTTTCCACATCGAGAGAGCGGCCGCAGGTGAACACGTTAGTCATTCTCAGAAAGAGGGGGAACTCACCAAGCGCCAGCACAAGAGGGATTGTCGACGGTCGTAGATCCATTGCACAAGAAGGGCGTGTAGACGATCTGAGGTGAAGTGATGGGTATCGACACATTTGTGGGTCTCATAGCTCTAGATCCCTCAACGAAGAGAAGAAGCAGTAGCAATGGGAGACAGGAGGACCACCGCAGTCGGTCGTGCATCCATGTAAGAGTGGGCGTAGCGCTTTGAAAGGTGTCGACAAGGGTTGTGGGAGGAAGCAAGGGCGACCAGTTAATTCCGTCGTTGATTGTAACTTGGGGCAAGCCATGTTTGACCCATTTGCATTCGGGGTTAATAGCCCACTTCTAACCAAGCCTCATGACTGGGAGATGTCAATAATTGCCTTGAGGCTTGGGGCGCCTCTACGCCGCAAAGCGGGAAGGGGGGAAGATGTCATTCGCAGGAAGCATTGTTGATGTTTAGCCGCTGTTCTTGAAGCAATAGCCAATGATGTTTTTTTGAGAGATTGTGAAACCTGGGAAGAAACGGATGGATTGGATCACTGGTCGTGTGTCTCCTACGGGCCGAGAGGACGGTGACAACATCAATTGAATGATCATCAATCTTCGCACCAAGCTCGGATTCGGAAGGAGTCATGGATATGAATAGGTCGAGAACGCCGAAGATAACGGTGGCAGACTCGGCATGAATTGTGAAACTGTTAGCATCGTGGATGGCGGACGGAAGAAAGGTGTGCAAGGAGGGCCAAAGACCTTGAAATCAAGCAAAGCACAACAACAAATTGTCATTGTCAACCCTCGAATTGCAAGGATGATATCGGTGGCGTTTTATTCACCGAACAGATTAGCGCTAGCAAGCCCGGCGACTATGTTGCGTAGACAATAGCATTGTGGCGGTAAACGTCAATAGCACTGTCGCGCCCAATGTCAAATCTTTATCACTCAAATCTGGTCGTCTGAAACATTCAGCTTGAATTCATTTTGAATTCATTGAAACCGTATTGTACAATTTTTTCAACTTGTCTATATACAAACAAAAACGCAGCAGCGACTATGAACACAAAAGAAAAAAGGAAATGAAAGAGTTCAATGTGTATGAGTTGTTGCGCAAAGATGATTGTTGGGTGGTTATCTGTTAAATAAAGAAAAGACAAGGGCAAAAGATTTTGAACTTTGAAGGGCGGGGACGGCAAGGAGAGGGGTGACCTTTTCAGCTACATGAATGGACGGGTTGAATGGGTAGGATGGATGGGAGGTATATGCAAAGCAGATTTTATACAACGAGCAATGGAGTTGTTGAACTTGAAGATAAACGGCTGGGCTGGGGTGCGGGTTAAAAGAAAGCAAAGACAAAAAAAGCAAAGAAATGAAGGGAAGAGAAAAGGGGGTAACTTGTGGCTTGGTATATGTACACATAGGCATGTCACAGTCCAAAGCGGAAAAAAGCGGGGGAATAGGGAGGGAGGATAAAACATGGGTCCATTTTTGGCGTATGTTCACGGAACACAACGACCGGGAGGGGGGGTAAACGATAGACTTGAGAGAGGGAAAAGACAGTGTCCAAATCAAAAGAGCGAGGGGGAACCAAATGAGCGACAGTTTTGGAAACCATGTAATATCCTGTCCGTGTGTTGTTGATGAAAAAAAAAAAAACATTGAAGAAAAGAGGGGCGCCAGCCAGCGAGGTTCTTCTTTTTGGTTTGATTTTGTTTCCGATCTTGGTCTTGCAGGGGTACCTTGAGAGCGAGAGAGAGAATCCACCAAATCTGATGAAAAAAAACATTGGAAGAAAAGAGAGGCGCCAGCCAGCAAGGTATGTTTGTTTATCTTCTTTTTGGTTTGGGAAGACCGCGGGAAGCGAGAGAGAGAATCCACCAAATTCGCGCCAGCCAGCGAGGTATGTTGTTTTGATTTGCTTCCAATCCCTCGAAAGCGAGAGAGAATCCACCAACTCCCCAACCTCGCTTCATCATTTCAAACCCCAATCACCTCTCCCCAACACCAGCAGTCGTAATACTCAACAACGGCGTCCCCTGCCCC